GTTTTCGATAAAAAAAAAAAAAAATAATAATAATAATAATCTAAGTTTTCTTGATGCTATAGTATGTAAGTTCTTGAAATTCATGATTGTCCTTAGTGACTTTTTGTGATAAAATTAACCTCTTATGTTTTATAGAGCAAAAGCTGGCGACAAGTCGACCGATTCATTTTGTTTTACATTAAAATAGTGTGTTTTTAAGAAGTATCGACTAACCCAAGAAACAATTGAAAATTGTCCCTCGCCAGCTTTTGTTCTATAAACAAAAAAGACGGCGAGGGACAATTAACTGCTAGACAAGTCCACCGATTCAATTTGTTTACATTGAAATGTCTTGTTTTTAAGAAGTATTAGTGCTGTTAAATTAAACGAGTCTGTCTCAGTTCGATTCGAGCTCAGCTCGTTAAGGCTCGAGTTCGGTTCAGCTCATTTAAAGCTCGTTTAGTTAACGAGCCCGAGCTTGATATCACGCTCGTTTATTTAAAGGCTTGAGCATCCTAAGCTCGATCTCGGATCGACTTGTTTACCGCCTAAGAAGTATGGACTAACCCAAGAAACATTAATTGTCCCTCGTCAGCTTTTGTTCTATAAACAGAACAGAAGGTGACGAGGGACAATTTAACTGTTAGACAAATCGACAGATTTACTTGTTTACAATAAAATTTCGTGTTTCTAAAGAAGTATCGACTAACCCAAGAAACAAGATTCTCCTCCTCGGTCGCCTTGGTGCTGTCGATAGCCCGTCGTCCGGAAATAATTTCGAGAAAAACAACACCAAAACTATACACGTCGGATTTGGCCGTGAGCTTGCCCGTTTGGGCGTACTCGGGCGCGCAGTAGCCGTATGTACCCATCACCCGCGTCGAAACATGGTCCTGCTCGCCTGTTGGGCCCAGCCTGGCGAGTCCAAAATCCGAGAGCTTGGGGTTGAATTCGCCGTCCAATAGTATATTCGACGGCTTGAAATCTCGGAATATGATTGGCGGGTTAGCCATGTCGTGTAAGTACTCGAGCCCACGGGCCGCGCCTCGGGCTATCTTCATCCTTGTGGCCCAATCCAAGGGCTGTTTGTTTGGAGGTAAATCTGAACCCAAAAAAAAAAAAAAAATATATGAATGTGATCATTGGATCCAGAAAAACAACTACCGTTGGTTAAAAACAAGTCAAGAACTACTTTAGAATGTACTTTTGAAACTAATTCTTGATTATTACATATACTTTTAAACTTACAACTTACAAGTTACAAATGCCTTAGAGATTTGATGCAGGGCAGTTCATTTCAAGTCATAAAAGAAATCGAAAGAAAATCGATTTTCGAGAAAAAAGAAAAAACAAACGAATGATTACCGAGAAGATGATCTTCTAAAGATCCATTCTGCATGAACTCGTAGACCAATATCCTCTGTCGGCCATCCGCGCAATATCCGATTAAATTCACAAGATTCGGGTGATGAACGAGGCTCAATGTTAGGACCTCAGCAAGAAATTCCCTATTTCCTTGAACTCCATTTCTATCCAGCTGCTTCACGGCCACAACCTAGAAAAAAAAACGACGAAAAACTCAGGCGAACAAAACGCAGAACGAACAAACTTTAATAAAGAAAACAAAAAAGACGAGGCATTAATTTACTTGATTCGTTTTCTTGAGATATCCCTTATAGACTCTCCCGAACCCTCCCTCACCGACTAACAAATCGGGATTGAAATTCTCTGTAGCATTCGCAACTTCACGGAAGGTGAACACCTCAGATGGAGGCCTTACGCCGTTTCTAAGTATATCCTCTGCCAATATCCTCTGTTTGCCGCCACCTTTCACAACACCAAATAAAAATCATCGACGTAAATAAAAATCGTAACTTTCCTATTCTTTTTTACGTTCCGCTTGACGGGCATTTTTTTTCTTGTAAATATTCTCACCGGCATTCATGGATACGCTTCTCGGGATAACCGACAATGCATCGGGCGCATGATCGTATTTCTTGGCACCTTTACCTTCGTGGACCGAGCTTTTGGAAGTTTTCAACGGGCTTCTCTTCATGGTGTCGTCGTGTTTAATCCTGCAACAAGACAGAAATCTCATGATCTCTCAAATATGATCCCTTTTTTCTTGCAGGATTTTCTTTTATTCAAAGATCATCACAAGAGCTCAAACTTTTGAGTCTTCATTTTTGAATTCATTTTGAATAAACTCAACATGAGAGATGCTTAAGAATTTGAAGGCTCAAGAGGGAAAAGGGAAAGGAAAAGGGAGGCATTTAATCATTAAAGAAAATTTGTGTACAAATGGTCCTTGAAAGAAGGGACAGTTGAGAGGAGAAAAAAAAAAAATAAAATTAGTTAATTAATTGAAATTAAATGAGGATTTTTAAGAAAATGTGAAGGGGGGGGGGGGACCAATGATCATGCTAACAACTACTCTGTGGGTAGCTTGTTGTCAATGTACCACGTTGGATTTTTTTTCAGATATCATACCTTAGTGTTTTTCGGAAGAGGTGTGGATTAAATTGATTTTTTCTAACTTTAGCATTGATAATCTTATTCATAAATTAATCGTAGTTCGTTAGTTTAACTCGTTAATATTAATAAACAAGTCAAGCTCGAGTTCGTTTAGTTAACGAGCATGGCTCGACAAAGGACCTAATTGGAATGTGAATTTATTCTTGAATTTTCCTCGTTGTATGATATTTAACGACGACATGCAATTGGCTACTAACTTTTGGACAGCTAACATACATTTCAAAATTAGTATGTACTGTATGCATTGACATACGCCAAAAAAATGTTTAATTGGTGAAGGACCCTACTCGAATGTTAGGTACTTTGGACCATGGCTTGATGGAGCAATTCAATATTTTTTAAATGAAGGTATTTAAATTCGAAAAATTACTTCATTTTCAACTTTTTAGCTGTAATTTGCACTCATAAAGCAATTAGTTTAATCATCATTAATCATCACAAATGCCAACCAAAACAAAGGGCCCATTCAAACAAGCTTGTGTCAAGCTTTTACCTATCCCAAGTTCTCACACCTTGTAGCAAATTCAAAAGATTGTTTCTCAACAATAAGCACTGATTCAACGGAAGCAGTAAACGAGCCAAGCCCAAGCTCCTAATACTCAGAGTATCAATATTAACGAGCTGAACGATAACCAATTACTAAAAAAGTTCTATTTTTCAGTCTCAACAAGTCGAACTCACGAGCAACTCGTTTTTTTTTTAAAAACTACTTTAAGCAATATGGAAAAAAGAACAGATGACCCGAATCCAGTGCCAGTGGTATGTTTATTTTGTGATTTGGGGTGATCAGTTTAAATTTTTGGTGGAAAAAGGGTGTGATAAATTGAAAAGCGATGTGCATACGAGCAAAAATACAACATGAAGAGGCACAGCACAATATAATGTTTGGTTTCTGAGTTAGGAAGAAAATGGGACCAACCACAAAAATCCTAAATGAAGGTAGGGCAAAGCATCATAAAACCTTGTTGGAAGCCCTAAAGTGATTTTAAATTGTCATCATTTTTCCATGTGAGGAAGAAAACTAACGTAAAATAGTCACTATTAAGAATTAAGGCCAAGAAAAAGACAAATAAATGCTGAGTAAGATAGACCTATTTGTACCTAGAGTTGTAAACGAGTCAAGCCAAGCCAAGCAGAAGCTCATGCTCGAGCCTTTATCAAGCTGGACCGAGCCAAGCTCACAAGCTGCTTGTTGTGTTTAGCAACCATTTGTACCCGTTGAAGTGAATCCTCTACACAACCAAACTACAATTTCTAGCAACTTTTATAGTTCGTGAGGTTATCCGACCAGCACGCCTCAAAACAAACAGAATTTATACCTAAATAGCAGACGGCAAGACAAATCTAAGTACTCCACAAGAAAGAATTATGCTAAAGCTAAACCGATAACCAACAAAATATCAAAATCAATATATTGAAAAAAGATAGACAAACCAGAGCTGGAGAGGTTGGATACAGGCAGTTTCATTAACAATCAAATTAAATCAAACCCCAAAAGAGAGAACTTGCATCACATGCACATCTAAGGCACTAAGCCCATGAACCAAAAAGATCATCCAATTCTAAGAAAACCAATATTAATGGCAACTAACACTTCAGTTCAAAATTGTCAAGCATAATGGCCCTCATGTTAACTCTTATTATAAACATGGCACAAACATAACAAGAAAATTGATCTGCAACTACCATGCTTTTTTCGAGTGTTATCCCCTACTTGGCCAATCCTTCTTCAATCTCACTCCACTTATCTGCACTCTTAGGCAACTTCTCCTTGACAATCCCAATGATTTCCTTTGCCTCGTCAACCTTCTGGACACTACAAAGCCCGTCCACTAGCATTTTCATGGTCGTGAAATTCGGCACCCAACCCTTTGCCAAGCACTCCCTAAAAATCTTCAGTGCCGATTCGAAATCCTGCCCTTTGCACAAAAAGTAAACAAGTGTAACATAACAACAGGTCGCAGGCTCGAGCTTCTTCTTACCCATCTCCTCGAACAACTCCTTGGCCAAATCCAATTTCCCTTCCTTACAGAACCCGATAATCAAATACCCGTAAGTCACAGAATTCGGCTTCATGTTCCTGGACAGAATCTCATTGAGCAAAGCTTTTGCCTCGTCTGATCTCTTGAGCTTGCACAGGCTTTGTATCTTAACATTGTAAAACCCGATGCTCGGGCGCAGCCCGTGTTTCTTTATCAGAAGCTTCATTTTCTCCACATCTTCGAGTTTCTCCTCTTTGTAAAAACCGGCCACCACGATGGAAAATGTCGAGACGTTGGGCTTCACACCTTTTCTCTCCATCTCAGCCAGTATCGAGTAAGCAGAATTCGAGCTGCCTGACTCGCAAAACCCCTTCAGCACGGTGTTGTACGTGTCCAGGTTCGGCTCCAGCCCGTGCTTCCTTGGGAATTCCGAAAATACCCTCTTCATCTCCCCGTAGTCCTGCGCTATGATACAGGCTAAGATCAGAGAATTCAGGGCCTTCACGCTGTGCGGGACGCCCATGGCGGGCATTTCCTCGAACAGCTTGATGGCGTCCTTCACCAGGCCGGCCTTGCCGTACAGGGTGATAAAGTAGGAGATGAAGCGGTCGGATTTATAATCGGGGCGGGCTAGGGATTCCGAAAATAAGCCACGGATACCCTCGTAGTAGTTGGAATCCCGGAGCTTGGTGACGGCCAGGGAGTAGGCGACGCGATCAAGTTGGATCTCCGGCGTGAGGGCGGCGGCACGGCAGATGTCGAGGATCCGCTCCGGGTTCTTCTCGACCTGGAGGAGGGAGAGCGCGGCCTTGGACTTTTCCTTGCTGGTGAGTGGGGTTTTGGAGTCCGGGCTGAGGATTGAGGAGGAAGAAAACGGCCGGTGGATATGGAGGTGGAACGACCGGATTCTGCTGCGAAGCGCCATTGCCGGAGTTTGGAGGTCGGAGGATTTGAAACGGCCGGTGGATATGGAGGGGTTTTAGGGTTCAAGAGGATGAGTGAGGGACCTTTTAGAAATGAGGCTAATGTGTAATTAACTATATTGGATAATAATTTCATTATTTAAAAAACAATAATACTATTTTTTATTTTTAATATTTGTACATTAATTAAAAATATTTTTTTGTCAATAATAATTTTATTTAATGAAGATAGAGATAAATGTTTTGAGAAAAAGTGAAGAGTGAATATGAAAAATCGTAATGTATTTATTGTCTAAACTAGTACAGTACCCGTGCGATGCACGGGGCTGCATAATTTTAGAGAATTTAAGAGAATAATATAATATTTCGTAATCATTAGGATCGAAAGAATTCTAATATGTTGGAACATTTAAAGAAATAAAAGGATTGTTTCGTCACAAAACAATTATATATTCTTAAAAAATATCTTTGTACACAACATTATGAGTTTGGTTATTGATAACTCCCCCTTATCACAAACTAATATCTTCAATCCTCTTCTATTAGTTACACGTGAAACAACAACATATAATTGGCCGTGACTAAAAACAGGTTTCTTCATGAATAGACCAACATGCTATAAAGATTGTCCTTGACTCTTGTTTATGGTCATGGCATACGAAATCACAAGTGGGAAATGTCGTCGCTGGAACTTAAATGGAATCCTAGTATCAGATGAAGTGATATTCATCCTAGGAATCAACACATTATCGCCAGCGTGATCTCCCGTCGATATCTTGCATTCGAAAACATGAGTAGAGAGTTTAGTCACAACCAATCGCGTCCCATTGCACAGTCCCATAGAATGGTTCATATTGCGCAACAACATTACTGGAGTTCCTACCTTCAGGTGCAACTTATGGTTAAGAGTTCCAGAGCACTTGATGTTATTTAAGAATTTTGGCGTGTGAAGATCTGCCAAGAAATCATTGGCATAATCCGACTTAGAAGTACTGTCAGAGCTCAAGTACGTACGACCTTCAGAAGAATTCATATCGGACATGTGTTGATTGATGGACTCAACAACTTCCAATGTGGGAGCTAATATAGCCCTATCCTTCAAATAACTCGGATCGTCAGTTGCGTTCTTGAAAATTGGATAGGTACTTTCTACAATCGTAGCAAATGGATCATCATATGGATCCAATCTTATATCATCTGGAATTTCGATCGCGGCACAACCATCATTTGATCCTCCTATAGGACCATCTCCAATACTCGCAATCCAATCCGCAAATGCAGCCACCTCGTCACGCTCATCCGAATCGAAAATGCTCTGAAGACGCATGTTTTTCGTAAGCCGGAGCACAGTACAATTCCTCCAAATGCTGGATGCATTAATAGTTGCATTGACAATGTCCTGGCGACTCCCGTTTGGAATGACTGGAAGGATTTGTCGAAAATAATTATAATATGCTTAATATACCTATTTATGTATATACGTATATACATAATAATTTTTTTTATATTTACATAATAATATATAACGAAAAAATATATATACGAATGTGTAATATAATATTTATGTAATTCGAATGTATAAATATTTATATATATATATATATATATTATATATATGTAATACATACTAATATATACTCAAAAAATTATATATACGCATATACATAACAATATAATATATAAATATATAATTTTATCTATACGTAATAAATACTAATATATACGAAAAAATATATATTCGTATATACATAATAATATTTTTTGCATATACGTTATATTATATACGTAATCTATCATTATATATATAAAAACAAATAAAAAAAATACTTACTTCAAATCCATCAGAATGAAAGCCACCGTTTGTGTTTTACCTGTTTTCACTTGCTTTTGTTGAATACTTTAAACATCAATAACAACTCCAATGACATATACAAATTTGATTTAATATTAAATTTCAAATTTAAACAATTAATACGATAGTAAAAATAAAAGAACTGAATTACACTTTTTGTAAATATAATATTAAAGTATAATAAACGTACATAAAAAAATTACACATCTAATATTTTATACGAAATAAAACAAAAGTACATGTTTACCGAATAGATTGATAACATCAATATTGTGGGCATCTTGAAGTGTTGCAAAATCCTTAAAATTAAATCTATGAATAGGGAAATCTCCTTTGATCTTCAAGAATTGAGTGCTTTGATGCAATATAATCTTGAATTCATGAGGAGTGAGGCGATAATTACCAACATTACTATCTACCCAATAATTTCGAATGCCAATCACATCACCTTCCACATATTTGTTTTTGGTGAATTGTTTGATGTGCATAGATCTAACCCATGCGGTGATGCGACTCCCCTGTAAAAAAACATAGAATCAAGATTTATCATGAATTGAACATATTTGTATAAAAAAACAAATAAAAAATATCATAACAGTACATCTTCATCATGGAGGACAATTTCTAGATAGTTCTGAAACTTGTTTTCATACTTTCTCATGCTCATTCTGACGATACGAACCCAGAACATAGGCCTTTTGGTTCTCTTAACTTCACTAATTGGTCCCCATGACTCGTCCATTTTTTATATATTGAAGATTGAAAACTTTTGTTTATTCTGTGTGGATGAGAATGATAAGAGACTAATACTTATAGGATCGAAATAATTAAAGGAAGAAATAAAACAGAGAATTAAAAAAAAAAATTTAAAAATAAGAAACACTATAATTCAATAATAAAGGAGAGTAAGTTATCAATATACAAATAAATGATGTCTAAATATTAGTATTATTCGAATACCATGCAAAATCTGATTCTTTCCAACTTCACGTGTAAATCATTTAGTACATATCCAGAAAAGGCTATGAATTTATGGATTTTTTTTTAGATAGGCGAAAAAATAAAAGATCAAATTGATTGGTAGAACATTTGTATTATTCGAAGTTCATGCAACATAGGATTCTTTTTATTAAGGAATTCGGATTTTTTATTCTTTTTTTTTAAAGAATTTGGATTTTTTATTTATTTAACAGAAGTTCATGATAGGATTCTTTTTATTAAGGAATTCGGATTATGTATTTATTTAACAAAAGCACCGGGCATTGAGGGACTGTT